ATTTGATTATCTGTAACTAAAGGTGGTTATTTATTACTGTATTTGCGAGTCTTCAAAGATCATTATCTATGTGCTCTTTTATTGTTGTGAATTTAATAAAGCTAACTACTTTATCGTATATAATTTATTAAAATGTATTTTCATATTTTCCTATATGCATAAATCCGTTTTAAAGTATCTTATTTGATGCAATTAATAAAATGTTAAATTTTTTCATATGTTTTAGACTTAATGCTTCGTTAATCTTGTGTGCAAAAAAAATATCATACATAAATAACTTTACTAATGATAATTAAATTATTGTTCATTTTAAATTTAAAAAAGAAAGCCATTTAATGGGATTGGATAATAAATCCCGTGCATAAATTCGTGGTCAAAACTTGTTCGTCTTTCAACAGATTAAATACGATTTGACCATTAAAGGGCTGTTTACATTTTAAGGGTAGAAAATTTTGGTTCGATAACGTTTGGCTTCCTGCTGGAACCATCCGAATAATCAGTCTCCTTTTTGCGACGCCAACAAGTGTGGCACTTGATCTTTTCTTGCCACTTGCCACCGCACTCAGATTGTGATTGAGTATGTGCAACTGAGCCAAGGGCCAAGAAAGAGGGCCAGGACTTCACCTCCCAGTTTCCCTTCTTATTTTTTGTTTGGACATTGGCAGGGTGGTGAGTGATGAAAAATTCGATGATGCCCATCCAACAATGCCGGCTTACTGGAGGGTCGGAACGGAATTTAATTTTGTGCGAAACTTGGGCAGCTCGCACAGAAGGACATGGTTGTCATCGGCGCTGCATCATCTGTCCCTCAACATGGACATTGGGCAGATGATAAAACCCAATTTGTTGCAAATAAAATAAAAACAAAGCAGGCAAGCAAATGGACACAAGGAGCTCCTCTTGTTGCACCATCAGCAGGACCAGGACGAGCGCCAGAGCCAGGACGAAGAGCAGAATCACAAGCTGGTGCAATTGAGCAAATTCATTGCAAATTGCCACTCGACGTGTGCTGGTGTCCGAGAACAGGACGACTCCCTCGTCCGCAATCGAGGATCGATGCCGAAATTAGAAACTGGAAAACGCATTTGGCATAATTTCAGTGCCGCCCACCGCCCACCGCCCACCTCCCATTTGCTGTGTTTACGATTCGTTTATGCAAAGTCTGACGAGCTGCGGGCCAACGGGCCATCGGGCCATCGGGCCGGCGGGGGAGTTAGACAATCAGCTTACCCACTCAAAGATAAATGTATGTATATAAGAATATTTTCCATTTGGAACAGGTAATCGATTTTCATGCTTGTGGCGAAACGTACAAAAGAACTGAAACGAACCCAAAAGTAAACCAACTTTGTTGTCTGTTTCGTTTGCTTTCATTCTTATGTTTTTTCCCTCGGCAGCTGGATTTGGGTTTCGCATTCACCTTATTCTTATGCCGTGTGCGTGCGTGTGGGTATGTGGGTATCCGGTGCGTATACTTGATATTTATGTTGAAAACTTAAAGCAGTTAAGAGCTCGTCGTGCTTAAAATATTCCATCGGTGTCTGACAGCCAAGTTTATCCAACTTGTTGATTTACTTTGGGCCCCACTTTCCGGTGCGAAAGTTAAGCCACATCACTGTTTCCTCTCGAATTTACCATTTAAAGTGAGAGCTGTCTGAAATAATCACGTTGAAGATCGCATGTGGCTTTTGATCTTTTCACTGCAACAGGGGTTTATTGGGGCATTCAATATAAGGGTTATATTATAGCCGAAATCCCTAAAGAATGTAAGCAACCATCCTGCAATGAATATATTTTTGATATCGAGGACCAGGTACTGGGACATACCAACAGAGCTTTAAATTATTCAGTGATTCATAGGCCACTATTAAATCAGAATACAAGGTAAGATGCATATATGCGAGTCGTTCGAGTTCGTAATCTGCTGAAATATATTCAGGAGTGCAAAAGTGCACATGTGCCCAACTTGGGTGACAGCGGCAACAAAGAATCCAATTACGTTGGCTACTGGGATATTTTTGACAAGTATTCAATGAATTTCAGTGCAGATTTGTGACCCTATCCAGGCAGACTTTCAGCAGACAGACTTTTGCCAGCTATTCGTTGGCAGGCAGGAAACGAATTAGAAATGTGTAAAACAGAAGTTGCTCCACTGGCGCAGTCGGTCAGGAGCTGAGGAGCTAAGGAGCCAAGTGAGACGTGAAAAATATTCCCCTTTTTTTTCCTTTTGCTGGGATGAGAACCGGGAATTGAACCTTGCCCGGCCGGAAGAGGAAAATGATTTCCGGCCTGGACCGGCTGGGGCGATAATTTTGCGGCATCTGAGAACTTTTTATATGCAATCATTGGGCGGATTGTCAGTTAACTCGCAGCTGGGACTGCAACTGCAACCAATTCATTTCATCGAGTTATGTGAATGTTCCCGTGCTCCAGTTACCCCTCATTGCACCAACATAATTTTAGACATTATTCTCGTGCTCGCCACCAAAAAAGTTTTAGCTCAAAACGCGGGGGAAAAAGAATAACTTTGCCAAAATGTTTGCACAAAGTTTTGCGTTACAAAACGAGCTGGAGAAGTGGAAAAAATTATCACTATTGTTGCAGATTTGTTGGGTGACGCTGAAATTTGTTTTCGCTGCTTTTTCTTGCTTCAGTTGTTTTGGAGGTGTTGCCGGCATTGATAACATTTCTCATTTTGTGGCTAACAACAGTGTCCACTCGTCTCTGTTTAGTCGACAGAACGGGTAATTTAAATGGGGGTACCTTGAGTGAGAAAGTTTCACAAATTCTCTTTTGGAAAAGAAGGGCAGGGCTATCAGGTGCGTGTGGTGCATATTTATGTCGTTAATGGAACAGCGATTTTAAGATCTATTTGATGGCTTTGGGTCTCTGTTTTCTGACTTCAACCCAATATTTACCTATATTTATGGCCGTAAGCTTTATCCTCGATTAACTGACTCCTCGTGGCAAACTTTTAGCCAGACAAATGATATTTAAATGAGCTGCATTTGAAAAGTTAACGGTGAATGGAGCCCAAAGCAAATGTCACAAAATTGACAGAATCTGGCGCAAAGAAAAGAAAAACTGGCACAAGTCGGCAAATTAAATACGCCAAAAGGCAGAGGCGAAATCCGAGCTGGCCAAAAGAACACAAAACTTTTGGCTTACAAACATTCCTAAACTCTTCAGTCCGTCCCCCGAAATGCGTGACCCTTGCACCCGGAGCCCCTTTGCCCCCTTAGCCCCCTTAGCCCCCTTAGCCCCCTTAGCACTGATCCTGCTGAACCCAACTAAAGTCCAAAGATGGCAAATCCGTTGCTTAAACGGCTAGAGGGCCTCGGGGCCAAATGCTTTGGTGGCAACTTAAAGTCGCATTTGGTTCCCTAATGCGGCTCAGACGGCTTCCCAGGCTCCAGCTAGCCCATTTCAGCGAAAAAAACGAGAGAGGCAAATTGAAATGAAATTGAATTTAGTTGGAGGTCGCAGGAGCTGAAAAAGTTGACGCGGGTGTGGCAGTTTTATTTACAACTATTCCTCATGTGATGTGATGCTGGGGAAAATGCAAAAGAGTTTAATTTGCAATTTGTCGCCCTCATTCAACGCTTAACTTTTCACTCGGGCGGTGTTTGTGGTTGCATATGCAAATGCCTTGGCCATCTAAGCCCATACCTCAGCCCTCTATCCTCTACCCTCTACCCTCAACCTTCTGCCCTCTACCCTCTACTTTTTAACCCACAGCCTGTGTGCTCCGTTCCCCGGAATGGCCCGCAGCCCTGCATATGCGAGAAAATGTACAAAGTTTTGCGTTAAGGCCCCACTTGAGTTGGGCTCGGAGTTGTTGCCGCTGGCAAGTGCCCTAGCCAACCCGGCCTGCCAGTTTGTTAAACGCCTTTCAACGGCGTGGTTAGCCAAGCGCAGACCTTGAAATGCCACGCCACTCCCGGCCAGAAGCCGAAGCCGAAGCTAAAGCTACAGCTATAGCTACAGCTAAGCTAAAGCTGGTAGCTGCCAGTTGGTAGTCGGTAGTCGGTAGTCCGTAGTTGGTGGTACATGGCAGCTGAAGCCACTCGAGCAGCTAACCAGCCGGAGCAAACTTTCTGCGGCGAACGCTTTAAAAAACCATTCCGCAATAGTCATTCCGTAAGTTGGTCCTGCAGGCAGCCAAAGGCACACACGGCACACACAGGCACACATGTTGATTTAGCAAACAAAATGTTTTAATTGAATAACACTTTGGTGTTTCACTGCTGCTTACTGACAAGATCAAGGGCCTCGCCGTCCAACTGTGCGTATACTTGATACGTGCTGCATTGTTAGTCTGTGCACTGCTACATAATGGACCAGACTTTATCAATCAAATTAGCCGCAGGCAGGGAATTAAAATTAATCGGTTTCAATTTTCATTTGCGTAAATTCCCTAAATATTTTCACACACTTATTTCACACCCAGGCATCATCGTTTGCTCATCTTGTTGGCGAGAAATGGGAGTGCATGCCTATCCATGCAAATTGAATAGGTCTAAATTCAATTTGGCGCTGAACAAAAAGAAATTGGCGGACGGAGAAACAAAAACAAAAATGCGCAAAACATTTTGGTAATTTAGTTGAGCGATTTGCATTTCCGTTGGGGAATAATTTCTGCACTTTTGTGCTCACTGACTGCCCAAATTGAATTGCCAAATAACATAAAAGGCAGGATGCATATGAAATTCGGGCATACGAGTATATATGAATTTAATTAAATGCTTTTGAATGCGAAAACATTTTGCTTAAATTGTCGCACGCCCAGCACCACAGCAGCATCAGAATTTGCATTGATTGATGCCGTATTCGGTGATTTATTGAACCTGAGGTTTGTCAGCCAAATAGCCAACCAGCCAAACAGCCAAACAGCCAAACAGTCCTTCACCCATTTGAAGCCCTCACTCCCCCGCAATTATTGTGATTGTCAGTCGGTAATGGCGGGGATGTTCAGCACAATGCATATTTATTTAGCCGGGTTTCATTTTGTATTTCTTGGAACCGCAGTGATTGATGTGGCCATGTTATCCTCAAAATAACTGTGACTGCACCCGGTCACCCGGGCTGTTGTTCACTGACATGACAAGTGATGGCTTCGTTCATATATTGTGTTTGGTCAAAAACTCAATTTAAATTGCATTTGTGTTCACTGCGCATCTGTCAGCATGTGTCGGCTTGTCTCGCCTGTCGACGGATCCCCTTGAGATATCCCCCTCGGAGAACTATTAGTGAAATAAATTGGTGGTGGGGTTAGTTATCGTTGGAGTGGACGAAGGTTTCGCTGGACTCCGTATCATCATTGCAGTCGGAGTCGAAGGCGTTTTCCGGAATATCGTACAGACGGATCATCGACTTGTTGGGATCCTTCATGATCAGATACTTTCCATCCGGCTGCTTCATCACAATGTCGATCAGGCAGCGCAAGACTCCCCAGGCATTGTCCATGTTCAGGTTGATTTGGGTGGCGAATTCCTGCGGCTTGAATTGCTGTGTGCCCAGGATCACGTGGCGCAGGTGGTCCCGCGGATTCACCCTGGACACATAGCCCAGTTTCAGCTGATCGGAGCCAGCCAGCACAGCCTCAACGGTCCAACGAGCTAGTTTACAAGCATTGTTGCGCAACTCGGAGGCCAACACTGCACCGCGCTGGGTGTCCAACTTCTGGCGCCACTCCACACTGTTGGACCCCTTGGAGTCCCATTCATTCAGCGCCTTGATGGAGAGGAACTGCATTTCCCCATTGGGACCCTGGATAACCCCATTGTGCTTGCAGCGAGCAATCAGCACCACTTCGTTGCCGAGATCCCACTGACGGTAGCGATAGCCCATGGAGGCCAGATCCACGCCCTGCTCCTCGAACGGATTGGGCTCTTCAAACTTGAACCGTGGCTCTTGGTCGCCAATGCGAAGCACCTCGTTAAAACCAATAACGCACTAGTTACAAATCCAACATAAATAATAAATAAAGCTATCTTACCTGCTGACTAAAGTTGTGATTGATGAGAGTGGCCTCCATGGCTAGGCTATGCGCCGAATTGATCGAACCCTCCTCATCCATCGGAGGTTCCAGCGAAGTCTCGTTGACGGTCAGCAAATCAAATTGATCATTATCTCGTTTATCTAAGAACACCTTGGTGCCCAATTTCTCGATCACCACATCCCAGGAGTAATTGGAGCGAGTGCAGCACATTATAGTGGCAAGGATCTCATCGGTGGCGAAGACATTGCCCATGGTCTTCGAGAGTCGTCGAATAACCGGATCATCCGTGGTAGTCACGGTGTGCACAACACGATCCATCTTGAGTAGTGGTTTTTCATTGCGTAAGTTAACCCGATCGTACAACTTATCGTAATACTCCAGCGATCCGCAGGTGGCGATGTCCTTGCCCTCTTTGATATTGGGAAGCGCCAGCTTGAGGAGGCGAGCAAAATCAATCTCCTCGATCGACACCCAATCCGATTGGACCATCACAGAGCTCTCGCGGAGTCTGGTGGGAGCACTGCGGCCGAATCTGCGACCAACATTCTGGGTATTGCGTGTGTTGCGACCCTTTCCATACTTGGTGCTATTGGCAGTAGATCCACCAGCCGCGGGTCCTCCGGGACCTCCTACGGCCTGGCTGCCACGCCCCGTGCGACCCCTGGCCCTTACATTGTTGCGCACGTTGGGTCTATAGCGACCCCGCTGATAGGGCTTAAAGGCCTTCGATCCGGTGGTATCCACCAGATGGAAGGTGGAGTCGTCGTCCTCGTAGAAGTATGCGTACTGACTGCTGTTGCCAAAGGTCGAGGCGTACTTACTGGGGAACTTCTTCTCGGGCAAGGACACGGTCCAGTCGCAGATTTTGCCCAGGCGATCACCTTTGCAGAACGGCTGGTAGGGCACATCCAGTTCGGGCACCTCACAAGGACCCCATCCATGCTCGTTGTACTCCACATATGGCTTGATGAAGGGTGCGTAGTTGGACATATTCACGCCGAAAGATGTTTAAATGGCCAAGAACTAGTATTTACATTTATGAGACCCGCTTTTGTCGGGGTACAGATTACACTGAGCTGATTTCGAAAATCAAAGGGTCTGGCCGATTTGACAGCTTGGAAAATTTTCAAAGCGCTACGTTTGAACAATTTTATATAACGAAAAAGACGGTTTCCATCACACGTATCGCAAGCTTTAAAGAATTGGTACAACCAACTTAAAAGATTTCTTTAAAAGCCAACAGATTGAAGTCTTTAGGGAGGAACGCGAAGATACTAACACCTTGTCAACAGAAAAATGATCTGATACCAAACAGTTACCAAACAGTTATGTTTTCCTTTCAATAAGAGCTCAGGCTTATTTGAATTTCTAGTCACACCACAAACATATAAGCTACCCATAGTGACGAGTAAGACGCTTGGAGAATGAATCATAGGAGGACGCCCTGCCCCCCACTAAACACCACAGCATCCACAATGAAGAAATGTGTAATTGCCTATTCGTTTATCGGGTCTCCGTCAACGTCGTGCTGTTCTCATTGGCCACGATTATTCTCATCCTTCGCATGGTGAGCTGATCCAGGATGGGCGCAGAGGCTCTTCTTCCAGCCGACAAATTCCTATTTCTTATTATCTTTTTAAAAAAAACACTCACAAAGCGCACGAGTAAATGTTTGTTGAGCTGTGGAAATGGTACAGGTACCGCGGACCGGGGTACTGTGACGGGATTATAACTTGACAACGCACCTAAGCTCATATCGACATGACTCCATTCATATGACGCCAACTCCGGCGGCATTGTTCTGGCCTAAGTATCAGGAGAGCAAAGGAACAACAGCGGAGTGCACTACAATGGGACGAGTGTCCTGTGTGCTGGACCTGGTCAAGTTGCCTCAATCCTCCCTGCGTTCCGGTTCGGTTTCCTTATTCTTGGCCGGAAGCACCTTACAACAATCTCGTTAAGCGTAAAGGCCAAATTATAGTAAAACTAACAGAAGGCAAAAGGTAATCACATAAAAAGCTTGTTAGATAACAACGTGCGAGGCGGCGAAAAAGGAAGCGGACATCCTGCACCCCGGCTCATCCCCAAAAAGCAACATGTCGAGCGTGTGAATGTGCCTGGATGTGTGGAAAATGATATGGGGGCGGGCGGGGTGGTAGTGGCTTTGCGGTGCCGCCGCCCCCTATTCCAGCTCCCAGATCCTGAGCTAAGCGTTGTCAGGCGACAGGGTGTCATGTTGATGTGTGTGTCACTGGCAGCTGCTGCTTACATGGCCCGGCTCCAGATTCCCTCGCACTTCTCTGTTAGTGCACTGAGAGAATATGGCGATGAAGGCTAAAATGCTAAAATGGATACGCATAGGAACTGCGGATGTACTGACTGATATTGACGGGCATAATACTTATATTCAAATTTCATTGAATTGCTCTCAGTGTAGCCATAAGCCGGGGATGAGTGTGCGAATGAGTAAGTGTGTGTGTGTGTGTGTGTGTGTGGATTATAATTGCCATGCGGCTGTCAGTGACTGCAGGCGGCGCCTAACTGCACACAGCTGCAGATGTGCGGCTCGTGTTGCAATATCATTTTTAATGCAAACCGCATGCCACATTATGCAGCTGCATTGCCACGTCACCGCTGCGATTTCCACCGCCCCATCCGGCTCTCCTCTCCATTCCGGCCTCCGGACTTACCCTCTCATCTTCATCTCATCTGCAATCGCTCCTGCCGCTGAAGCTTTTCTTCTGCCACTGCTGGTCTTGTAGGAAAAAGCGGCAGCGGCAGCGGCTTGGCGAAAGCAACACAGCCAAGAATAATGCCCTGGCACATAAGTAAGTACTTACCCAGCGAACAAAAGCAACAACTACAACTACAACTACAACTACAACTAGCACGAGTGCAACCAACAAAAATAACAACGGGAGGAGCAAAGTGAAAAACCGCTTGCATACTTTGCGGGGCTCGCGAGCGATAAACGACGCCACTGCCACTCGCCATCGCCCCCGCCATCGCCACACACCTCATCCTGCCCGAAAGGGTATGCTATACTATGTGCACGCGATCCGACTGAAAGCGAAATTAAAAACACATTTTCACAGCACAATTTATTTTCAAAATTACTGGGAATTAATGCGCAGAGTCGATGTATTTTGCATTTTTATGGCGACAAATATTGATAACAAGACGGAACAATTTAGCAAGGCTATGGGGAGTCGCGTCGGACGAGAATATCTCTCTTCTTTGGAAAACTACCTAGCTGAATCAATATTATGGCCGACATTGGAAGAGACTGGCATTAAAACTCAAATGGCCCATGGTAAAGCCCTCGCTAGCCCTGTCCATTTTCAAGAGCCAACACGTTAATCAGTATAATACTAACTTAAGATTAACTCAAGTTAAACATTATTACGATTCCCCCAGCGAAGCGGAGAATTAAACGAAGTACCAAACTTCCTAGCCGAGGGTATCCATTGATCGGTGCTCAATTTATTATTTCTGATTTTGTATGGCTCCAACGCGCGTCGGAAGCTCGGGCTGCTTCTGCAGCTTTTGTGTTGCATAAAAATTAAAATTTATGCCAGGCAAGTTGTGCAAAGCACTGCGAATGCCATTGTTTTTCATTCCCCACCCTCCAAATGCTCCTCCGCTGCTGATGTTTTTTTGGCGGCGGAAGGACATTCACGTTCTGGGTGGCTGCATTCATTCCCAGCACCCGCACCCGCACCGCGCCGCCACGCCCCATCCGCCTACTTGTCAAGCCCACTTACATTCAATTCATTCATCTCCGGCAGAGAAATGAAAATAAAATCCCCCAAAGCCACCTCCTTCTCCGCACAGGCAGGCCCCATCGTAATTGCGGAGCAATTATACAAACTTCCATCGACAAGATGGATACGTAATTAATAGCACATTAAATTGGGCCACAACAATATTAATTGTTCTGATTGATTTATGCAGGTAATTAACGTTTTAAGCAACTGAGGGAAATAAATTCCGTCGGAGGGGCGAGCTGTTCGCCTCCACTCATAAGTTTCGTCACATCAATCAAAGCAAACAGTACGATTCAGTTAAACAGCATGAACAGCAGATAGGACTACAATCCATCGGGTGTAGGAGCTCTCAAGAATCTGCGAGGGTCTAATATTGGGAATGTCCAGCAGGGTGCTTAGCTTCAGTATAAAATCATTCCAGAGAATTCCGTTGCAGAGAACTCCGATCCATCCGTTTTTCCAGCTGTATTCTGGTGTCGCTTTCCGAACTTCCCTTAGGAGTTTCTGCGATCGTCAGGAGCCCCGAAGAATGGATCTACCAGAGGGAATACTGATGGGTTTCGGCAATCCCCTGCTGGACATCACCTGCACCGTCGAAGATAATGTTATCCTGGAGAAGTACGGCCTGGAAGCGAATGCAGCGATCATTGCTGATGAAAAGCACGATGCCCTGTTCGATGAATTGATGAACATGGAGAACGTCATCTATTCGGCGGGCGGAGCCTGCCAAAACTCGATGCGGATCTTTCAGTGGATCGTGCAGACTCCATATCGAGCCGTATTCGTTGGGGCCGTGGGCAAGGATAAGCTAGGTGACCGCATCGAAAAGAGGGCCAGGGCCGATGGCCTGCTAACACTTTATCAGCTGAAGGACGAGCTGCCGACAGGTATGAACCGATCTAGTAAAAGAACAAAAAATACATTTGAGTAATAAATGGCTTTGTATAGTAAAGTAGCTACATTAAATTCGTTTTCATTACTCAGGCTCTTGTGCGGTGATCATCAACGGCCCAAACCGCTCCTTAGTGGCCAACTTGGGGGCTGCCTCTCTCTTCAACGACGACTGGATTGACGAGGAGGAGAACATCTGCGCCTTGGACCGTGCCGAGTACTTCTACTTCACGGGCTTCTTTCTGGCCGTTTGCCCACCTGCCGTGGAGCGGGTGGCAAGGATGTGCAGCGAGTCGAATCGCATTATGATCCTCAACTTGAGCGCCGTGTTTGTGCTGCAGATGCAAAAAGAAGCCCTTGTCAATATCCATCAGTACGTGGATATAATCATCTGCAATAAGGAGGAGGCCATTGCGTTCAGCGACTGCAACGATTGGAAGACGAAGAATATCTTTGAGATCGGCTCCCGGCTGCAGAAAATGCCCAAGGCAAATATACGACCACGACTAGTAATGATCACGGATGCGGTGTGTCCAGTTCTGGTCTTCCAGGAAAACGATCGCGTTCTTGAATACCCCGTGCCACCCGTCAAACAGGGCGAGATTTTCGACACCAATGGTTGTGGCGATGCCTTCGTTGGCGGATTCCTGGCCATGTACGTCCAAAGGATGCCCCTGGATTACTGCATCCGAACGGGCATATTCGCATCCCAGCAGGTCCTGCACGTAGTCGGTGTTCAGATCGATAAACTGCCAAAGTTTAGCGAGAAATGCATATGAAAGGGGTCGATGCTGATTGTGTTTTTTGCTAAATTTATCAAGTGATCAGTTCCTTTAGGACCTTAAATAAAATTTTAAGTTTTTAATATGACATGACAGCATGTTTTCTTTAGTAATAGCCAGCAAACTTTAAGCTCTCCCTCCCCCCAACACCAAACACAAATGTGTTAAGCCGAATAAATGGTTAACTTGATTACCAGATTAGCCCTTTCCCACCCATAAGCTATCAATATAATAATTTAAGGCCCCAGCCTGTTCGCATATCCTCCGGCACTTCCTTTGGCCCACACCTTTTTCGAGCACATTCCAGCCGGCAAGAGTCCTGCGGCACTCGGTCTGCCTTTGGCTCCGGGAAAAATAAATACATTTAAATGTATAAAACGCTCTCCCAGTCCCCAGTCCCCCTGTTGGTCCTGCCGCCGAGCTGTGGCTCTGGGAGAAAGGCAAACAGAAGTGATGTAAAAATATGCGTTGCATACTTTGCAACGCCAATGTAAATTTCCTCCACGTCCCGCCGGGAGGAGCTTTGTCTTTCGGGTCCTGGCGTCTGCTGCCTGCTGCCTGCTGCCTGCCGGCTGTTGACTTTGGCCTGACAAAATATTGCTACCATTTCAGAGGCGAAGACGCAAAGAACGCGCTCGTGGAGGAGAAGCTGGGGCAGCTGGACATGAGCACGTGCCAGAGGACAGTGGATTAGGGCCCCAAAATCTGTCTAAACAGGTTAAACGCCATGGTTTTTATAACAATTACATGTTGCAATAAATAGTATTTTTAAAATTGGATACATATCCGCCATTTTGGGATTTTATCAGGATCAATTTCTGGTTCTTATGTTATTAAAAGCAGATCATGTATCTGGTCCCTTCAGTCCCTGAAACACATTGGTCACCAAAAAACAGTTTCTTTTAGGATTATAATATTATTCCAGTCCACTTTTACACAACAAAAACGTAAAACCCGTCCACCGTGCAAGGGATGGTGCTGAATAAAGCGAAGGACGAGGCGGTACAGTAACTGTCTTCCACTGATTAAAACGATGCGTCCTCGTGACAGCGATTTTTTCTCGTTAAATCCTTAAATGTCGCTTCGTTTATCGTGAGCGTTGTTTTTTAACTTTCGCTGCCTCCGCCTTTTGCTGGGAATCGACTTCGCCGGCCGCTGGTCGCTGTGAGCTCAAGCGATAATTTATGCATATATCCATGGTGATTTATGACATTATCCCTC